GTTAACGAAGATTCTTATAATGAAGTCCTGATCGGCTGGATCGGCAACTTCGTTATATCGAGGTGTGACTGTATATATAAATATATATTTTTTTTATTTTGATAATTAAATATTTTTGCTTAATAGATATTTAAATTAACTAAAGTATATATTAATTTTTTTATATTATTTTAATTTCATTATTAAAATTTATAATTAAAAAAAATAAATATTTAAAATTATTGCTGTTTTTTAAATACTAATTTATAAATATTATAAATTTTCTTTTATTTAATATAATATAATTAATCTATTAATATTTTTTTTATTTATTTTATCAGTTTAGAGTATAACGAAAAATTATATATATATAATTTATAGATTATACAAGTTATTCTATTTCTCTTTTTTTAATTTTTATTATATTAATTTTATTTAACTTAGTGATAAAAAGGTTTAATTTTTTAGTATGAGATGACAGATAGATATTTATTTCTTTATGGTAGATTTTTAGCTTATTAATTATTCTTTTTTTAATTTTTTTCAAAAGTTAGTTTGACTTGATATAATAAGACATTTATTTTTATTTTTATTAATTGGTATTTAATTTATATTTTTTATTTTTTACATGAATAGAATTTATTTTAATTTTAATCCTTTTATTAAAATTTAAATTTTTTTTGAACAGCTTATCAAAATTGTATAAAAGAAATAGCACAATACATTTAAAATAATCAAATTATTATTTTTCATAATGTTTAACAAAAATCATTTTATAGAAATAGGCTCTTTGCAATAGAAAAGGAGGAAACTACCAAAAAAATTTTTTTTAAATTAATGTTAAATTTGAACTTATTTTATTAAAAAAATAATATTTAGCTTATAAAGCAAAAAAAATTTTTTTTAGTAGTTTCCTCACTTTCTATTGCAAAGAGCCCAAATGATCATTGAATCTATTGAATACACTTTAAAATAAAAGTTCATGTGAATGAAATTCTGTTTTTTCTAGTAATAAAGCCTAAACATTATATTTGAGCTTATTAAAATTGCATAAAAAAATAGATTAATTATATGATATAATATATTATTAAACTTATTGCTTTATGATTTTAGTAATTTATATATTCTTGGTTAAATTTAAAATGATATCAAAAGATAGATTTAATCTACTATTAAAAGTTTGCCAATAAAAATCATGTGTGCATTATAAATTGTCACTTTAAATTAATATAGCATTTTATTATATATAGTAAATAAGCAGAATTTTAATTATTCATAAAGAAAATATATACTAATTTGCATACTACAAGATTTTTATATAATACATAATAAAGTATTATTTTTTATAAATTTAAATCTGACTATTAATACCTTTAAATATTCTGTATTTCTGTATTTAATCCATTATTAATATATTTAATTTTCTTCATTAAAGGAGTGAATTATATTTCACTCAGATGTAACTTGATATCTTTTCTAGATAAATAGGCAAAGATGCTAATAATGCTTCATTTCATATATCTGTTATCCTGTTAAGCAGCATATTAAGTGTCACTCTATTTTAATATACATTTATTCTTAAATGTGCCACTAATAGGATTAGATTAGTCTAATTTAATCCAATCTGATTCAAAAAGATTAGTACAGTTCAGTTCAGTTTAATCTAAAAAGATTAGTCTTTTATCTATCTTTTTTAAGACCAGACTCAGTCTTAGAACTGGTCTTGTATTATTCAGTTCTACTAGTCTGAACTGGTCTAAGATTTATTTTTTCTCAATCCTGACTGATTTATAAAACTAATCTAAGGATTATATTAAAAATAAATAATCTGATATATAAATATTTAATGATACAGTATATAAAAAATATAAAAATCATTACATATAAAATAATTACTGTATCTTCTTAATATTATTACTTCTCTATATTTATTTAGGATATTATTATTACAGTAAAATGTTAGAACAGGTCAAATATTGAATTATAGACCAATTCATTTCATAAGAGAATTAAAAATTAGACTGGATTGATCTAACTATAATTTCTTAAATAAAGAATAATCTATAACAGATCATTAAGCATAAGAAACAAATTTTGGGTCATTGCAATTCTTCTTTTATATGATGATTTTGCAATTCTTTGAAAACATTTCTATATAGTAAATGTAATTTAGCAATATGTAAATCAAATATTAGTTTCTCAGTAGTTGAATTCTCATTCTCAATGTTATCATAGTAAGCAGATGGATTTTTTTAAAAGTAAGTTTCCTCTTTATGACATTAATAGATAAAAATATATTAGCAAACAATAAGTTAAGCCAGCAGGAGACAGGAAAAATCCCTGTGAGTACATGCTAGACTGTTGATCGCTTTCCATTTTAGCAAAAAATTGGCCTCAACTTGACTAGCAGTTATAGGATATAGCTTCCACAAGAGTAAAATGTGCACATTACAGTGATGTAAAGACCAGATACTCTTCTTTCTTAACACTAGCACTGTGGGATATAGCACACAATGCTATGTACTTGTTATGGTATACATAAGACTGAACATTCTTCTTCCTCATACCAGCAGTACAGGATGTAGTATATGGTAATTTTGTGAAAAATACTGACCAGGTCATGTTGCATTGCTAATGCTTTCTTGCTTGCACTTGTTCCAGATTTTAGTTTCCGAATCAAAATTTTGTAAATCAGCACTCAAAGCATTATGTAACATTTGTCATGTTGCATCTCATACATTTTCATGAAAGTAGTGATCCCACGTATCTGTATTTTCCATTGAGTAATAGATTTCTCCCAATAATCTAACATATGAATACATGTTGATTATTTAACGTTGATATAATGAAGAACAACAAATACTTACCATGATATCTAACCTTTTTTAAAACTGCTTCGGGTATTCCACCTGTTGGCATATTTGCATATTTGTGGAGAAAGAGACGCGTTTAAGTTGAACGTTTTTAGCTGCCTATTAATAAATCAAATATATAGTATATATATGAGGCACAACAAATATACTATGATTTGTTACACAAATGATGAATCATGAATCACGATATCAGGTTATACTCATCTTAATCATTGTATCTTGTCAGATCGATATGGCAGAAAATGATCATAAATTTCGAACTTATTCCGTATTCTTCCAAAGCACATTTTCGTCACTTCTTTCAGAAGCTGATCCTAACTTCATCATTAACCAATCTCTGGGCCTTGTGCTCCTCCTTAGATTTTTTTGTGGAAGTCAAGGCGTCGGGACAAAGCCTCTCCATAATAATAATAGCAGAAAATGACTTCCTGATTCGAATTTTCATGACTATCTTCAGCATTGGTAATTTTACAATACAAAGTTAAAAATTCAAGCGCTGCCCCCCGTTGTGTAAGCTAAAGAGGCTTTCCTTTTTGATAATGCTTGCTTGTAATAATAATTTTATTAAATAAAAGCTGATGACGCCGGAGCTACTCAGTTTCATGTAATCATCGGTCGTTCACATCCTATAACTCTCTATTTAACAATGAAATGAAGGCTTGGCAGGGTCCCGCAATCTTAATATTTTAATAATTAAATTTGAGGAACCTGATTTTGAATCGTTCATGCAGTTATGCGTTGGTGGAAAACAAGACGATAACACAATGATTGGGATGCATGGATTAGGTTTCAATACGTTTTCATTTTACGATGTTCCGAGTTTCATTAGCGGAGATTCTATTGCGTTTTTGGATCTTCAAGAGAAATTCTTGAGACAACGTGGAATAATTGGCCCTTTTCCAACAAATGGCATTGAGGGACTTTCTGAAAAGGACCAGTTGGTCCCTTTTGAGGGCATCGAGGCATCAATTTTCGTTCGAATTTTGAGGGAATACTCTTTCGAATCCCACTTCGAAGGGAAGCAAGTAAAATATCTGACAGAACTTTCTCGATAGCTGAGTTCCTTGAATTCAATCTAAATCAACTGTCCCCTTCCAATTTTTGTTTCTTCGAAATATCGAAACAATTGAAATTCTTACATATCTGAAACTACAGATCCGTTTCAAATAAAACCTCTATGTAAAGCGACGATGGAGGGATTGGATGAAACCGTAAGAAATAAAAGAAGATGTGAACATGTTATCAACGGCGAATTTCCTGTTTTTCAGATAAAAACTAAACTAATTGATTATGAGAATTTAAACAACATAAAATACAATAGTTTGGATTATCGTTATTTGTGCTCAGCAAGATCCTGAAGATTCTCAATTATAACAATACGCGCAACGATTTCGATTACGCGTTTAGATGGCGTTGCAAGACACATGAAAACCCAAAAGACTTCGAAGGCAAGAGGTACTCTTTTCTTTTATTATCTAAGACCTCCACCAATTTGCCGGTTCATCTTAACGGAGCTTGGGCCCAATGCTCAAACCGTGCAATGCTACTGATCAAAAAAAATAAAATGCCGTATTTAGATCAACTGAAACTTAGTTGGAACAGGCATATTTCTTGCCAAAATTTCATTGCAAACTTCTAAAAGAAGCAATCAGATTAAACATTACGGATTCTGTCTCAAAGTTCTGGTTTTTTCCGCATTAAATACGGTTTCAAAATAATGAAATATATGTTACAAACCGAAACTTTCTTGTTTAATGATAGCTCAGAAGAAGACGTAAATGACCATGTGAATGATTTCTTCGAGTGTTTGTCAATACAACTTATTGATGACTACGCAGCTTACTAATTGATTATTGGGAAATGGGTAAATAAATATACACCGCGTTATAATAAAATACTGTTCAGACTTGTGACACACTGACCATAATTGTCATAGTAAAAGAAAAATAACTCGAAACAATTTTATCATATTACCGAGTAATAATTATGTATTTTGACGACTACTGAATAAATGCTAATAAAGAATACGCTCAAGAATTATGAAAGGCATTTATGTACTGATCAATCAGTCTTTGGATTAACTTCTCGGTCTAGAAAAAGAATGCCAGAATTTTATCAGCTTTGCCATTCAATTTATATTAAATTTGACTAAATTTATATTATTGCGACATTGTAAAGATATATAATACTATTCTTAAGTAGAAAATTAATTTGTATGTTATTAATTTAAATTAAAAATTTTAAAGTTATTACATTAAATAAATTTCAGACAAAATCTTTTTAATTCGTGATTCATTTGTTATTGATTATAAATTCCAGTTAGACCGTAATTGATCGATAAGGAGTAATCATCGTGAAGGAACCGTTCGTCCTAAACCTGAAAGTTAAACAATAGGGTTTTTTTACTAATTTAGTATTAACTAAGGGAGAGGAGGTTACTCAAGACGGGTGTTTCTCAGCTTTTGCAAGCATGATAATACAATCCTGCACTACTCTATTTAGTATACTATCAGCATTTATCATATACAGCTTGGAAGCCGCACAATCTGCAAATTACTGTTCGTTCACCTTACAATGAAACAAATGCTAAGAAATCAAAAAAAAAAACTCACCTTTCTAATTTCTTGATTACCATCAAATTGGCTTGTTTGTCCACATAAATCGATAAGGTCATGATGAAACCGTTCGTGTTAAACCTGAAAGTAAAACAATAGGGTTATTTCTGAAAAATAAGTTAGCGTTAATAATCAAGAAAAAATAAATAAATAACAGAAAAAATGAAAATCATTACAACCAACAAAAAAAAAAAAACAAAAAAAATTATCTTTTATTGATCATTCAAAAAAGAAAATGATTATCCAATTTGCTATGAAATTATAAAAAACAATACAAATATACCAAACATAAAAAAAGAATTTCTACCGAAATTCTTCACAGTATTTAAAAAAAAAAATAATAATAATAATTTTTAATTCTCCTATGGTGGTTGTTTTCTCGCAAACTTTTACTAAATGATCATTGCTTCCCAACTTATAGTAAAAATCACACCACGTAGTTTCAGCCAAGTCATCGATATTAAATTTACTCCTTTTAGCTTCTTGCTCAATTAACCCATAAACTTTTTTCCAAGTTCCTGCCTTTCTAAACCAAATTTCATGAGGTTCTGAATGTATTTCTTTCATACCTTGTTTACCTTCCCAACGTTTTAAAGCCAATTGACTCCAAACATGGTTATCAATAGCAAAAGATTTACACCCTTTTGATACTAGTGATAATGAACACACTAAATTATTTAGAACAAAAAGCTGCATAAAATATAAAAATAAAATAGCTAAGCTATAAATTATATAAATAAATTCTATTCTAATTCGATATTATATTATAAAAATAATAATTAACATTAATAATAAGCTAAATTACATCAGTTAAAGGTTTTTGAACGACCGCTGACCACCCATTACCATCTTTAGTAGGCACTTTCTCTTTTTTCCTTTATGGGACGATGACGATGTTGGTGACGAAAGTGTTCCGGAAGCTATTAAGTACATCGGTTAGAAAAGAAAATTGAATGAGAAATAATTCACAAAAGAATAATCAGATAAAAAAAAAATTAAGTAAGATGAATGGCTGGATGCAGGGAATATATAATCACTAACTTGTAAGGATAAGTGTTCCGCTCCCATTAAAATGAATTTAAAGGTACAAGAAAGGACCTGGCTAAGCCTCATCTGACTATAATCATATGCATTTTATACTTACTTTTTTGCTTTTCAAGAGTTTCTGGGCAATATTGCGGACTTCTTGAGACATTTTTTCATCGTCAAGAATTGAACATAAATTTTTATAAAAGGCATAGTGAGCATCCATTTTATCAACGTGCTCATAATTATTAACTAATAAAGTTATATAACTATGTAGTGAACACTTTTCATAGGGAACAAATTCAAAATATACTTTATATGGGATTATTTTCGACCGAAACCGAGTATGGACATGTAAAATGTTTAAAAAATTTGAAAAAATTTAAATAGTCAAATTAAAAAAAATCTGCAAATTTTAAAAAAAGTAGTTAAATAAAAAATTTGTAAAAATTTTAAAAGAAGTTAAAATTTGTAAGGTTGAAATGTACCTTTCGAATATTTTTATCGTTCAAGAATAGACACGCTAACTTGTTGCCGAGTCACAAAATTAATGTGATTTTACTGTATTTTTCATTTTTCATAATTTGAAATACTTCAGTAAGAGGAGCTGCTAAAGGACACGTTCCCAACCTTCAAATTTAAATAATATTTTTGCACTTACAAAATTGAAACCCCAAGCGTTACAACGGCCGAACCATTTTGTATGTCTTTACTGCCTGGCAGCGGTGACCAAGAGTAAACGAGATGGTTGAAAAGGACATAGGTTTAATAAAAAAAAAATTTTTTCGTGAGAATTTTTTTGTCTTGTGAGAGTTTAAACCCCGAACCACAAAATTAGAATGGCGTCATAATTTAAAATTTTGCGCCGATTTGATGCATGAAATTGTGATAAATCAGATAAGTGGTTATTTAGTAATCGTCTAATAAAGTCGCAAGCATAAAGCCATTTAATTTTGGTTACATTTTCCTTTTTTTAGACTCAGTTGAAATTCCAATTTAATTTTCATTTTCTTGCTTCGATTTATTATTTCTTATTTTGCTTTAACTTTTATTTATTTGTTTGATTATTATTAACATCGAATTATTCAATTTTATATTTAATTTCATTAAATATTTATTCTTGAATCATTTATATCGATAATTTTTTTTTAATTTTGTTAGGTCTTTTATATTTACTTTCGTTTGACCTTTATTCTTGGATTATTAACATTAATGTTATTGAGTATTTTTTATATTTGACTTCGTTATACTTTTCATTTGAGCTTAAACATTTCAAGTCTTTAATTTAATTTTGATTTGGGCTTCATTTTAATTTGGATTTAATTTTTTATTATTATTGATACTATTTATAATCAAGATAAAAATTATAAAATTTTTTTATTTAAAAGCAAACAAAAAGAACCAAGTCTTCTTTAGGTTTGTACGTGTATTTGAATCAATTCAATTGTTACGGTTCGTATCAATCATTTTTGTTGATTTTCTAAAAATCAGCTTTCAAAGTTCTATAAAAAAAATAATTATAATATAATAATATTTCTTATTCTTCGTATTTAAAGTAATTTGAATTGCGGCTGCGTCGGTCGCGATGCTTGTGGAAGTGAAAATGATTGTTGCGATTGTGATTATTGTGACTGTGTGTATGTGGATGTATAAAGTTTCAAATTAAGTGAATATATTTCTTTTTCGAGTTTTTTATTTGTTCAGTATATATTTCGATCTTCATTAATAAGTTATTTTGTTCCCTTTTTCCTTACAAATTCGTTAATAACGATTTTCCGGTTTCATTGATTAACTTTTCAAGTATTTGAATTTCAACTTGTAAATCACCCGATCTCCTCTTCCTTTCTTTTATTATTTCTTTATATAAGATATATTTCTCGTGTGCGCGAACACGTGATCACATTTTCGGCCACAAAATGGGCTATGGCGTCGGGATGCGTGTGATAAGAGTGGGATCGCGGTCCTAGGATCGACTACCGTGTCCCGTCGAAGTGAAGTCAAAAAAAAAAAATAATTCTTTTTGCGTAATTCGTGATTCATCTTTTAATTTCTGTTATATACAGACAGTACTTGAGGTGAAATTAGTAAATTGTCTCAGGAAGATTATATAATATATTTTTTTTTTTTGATTTTATTAAATTTAGTAATTAATCTTTAATATATTTTTACTTGCCAAAAATTAATTTTCATTTCTTTAAACTGGTTTAATTAATTTCGGGTTTTTGAATAACTAAGTTTTACTAATTTCCTCATAGATACTAACATAGTTAATATAAATAAAGTAGATAAAATTTATCTGATTTTGCATTTATTACTTCAAAATAATATTACGTTTAAAAGAAGAATTTTCCTTCAAAGAATATTGTTGAAGGACGGTAAAGATATAAATTCAGATTTTATAATTAATGTTTGAATCTGAAATTTTAGTCAAATTTAAGTCATCTAAAAATTAATTTTTTCTATCAACAAAAAATGCCATTACACAAACCGTGAAACATTATCATCAAATATAAGGGTTAATAAAGATATTACATCATAATATACCACATTTCTAAAATATATAATCCATTGGGATTTTTTACATTAATAGTTAATTAAAATAAAATAATGATGATGATAATAAAATAAAAATACATCGATTATTTAGAACACAGAATTTTTGAGTAATAAGAAATTTAAAACGCCACATAATGAACTTTATTGGTATGAAAATTTTCAGCTAGCTTTGCAACTTCAAGTGCAACATTCTTGTAATTTTATTTATTCATCGTAATATGGTAAATAATATAATATTTATTTTTTTGGTGGATCAAATTCTCATTAAAAAAAAAAAAAATTTAAACCCTAATAAAAATTTGTTTATAAAAAAATAAAAAATAAAAATGAGTCAAAAAAGTTAAATAACAATAATAATAATAAACGATCTTTAAGTTTGAAACTACAATTTCAAATAATCAAAAAAAAAGTGTTCAAAAATGTCAAAAATGTCAAAAATAAATGTTATTATACAGTAAAAAATGCCATCAAAAAAAGAACGTTTTATTTGCGATATTCTAAAAAGCCCGAAAAAAAAATATATAAAATTTTAAAAATAAATTTTAAATCAAACTCCATTTCCTTTGAAATATAATCTATGAATTATTGAAAGAATTAATTGTAATTATAAAATTACTTCACTATAATATAAATATTGATTACTTACTATAATTAGATTCATTACGATTATTCTTATCGAATTTGGCTTTTTTAAATAGAGAAAATTAAATATATTGACCATTATGTTATTACTGTAAATAAAACTTATCATATACCATCATCATCCTCAGTCAGATCATCGTCAAATTTTCTTTTGCCTTTAATAAATAAAGTTATTATCAAGAAATCGTAAAAGAATTACTATTAAAAGGTAATCTTAAAATTAGTCTATTTACCAAATATACTTCGACTTGTTAAATTCCTTGTAGATTTCACAGATATACTTGTTACTTCACTTATAGGTCCAATATCAAGAGAATTTTTAATTTTTAGTTGGATTTCTTTTTTCATTTAAAATGATTATATCAATAAATTCACGAATAGCCCCCGTTGTTGGTCTCTCATTTGGTTCGGAATGCCAACATTTTTGCATTAATTCAAATGTCGTTGCTTGCTTGCTCACACATCTACACATAATTTTTATTTTTTAGCATCTCAGATACAGGATGGAACGGTCGCGACTGGTTCAGGTGAGGTAAAGAAGTAACGCTTCCACCTGCCATGCGAATATCCTGAATTCAATGAAATCGAATTTGGGGAGATTGAGATACATATTGATCATAACTTGTATTAATAAATTTATGTGGTTTATACAAACATCAATATTGAGATCAATGCATTTGTAAATTGCTATAATTAATGTATTAACCATTTCACCAAGAATACACCTTATTTGGAAGAAACTTTGCCTGACCCGCATGATCAGGCGCGCTAGACTTTTTTTTTTTTTATGTAACGCGACTTAAATTTGTAACAAATAAATAATAATCGACGTTACAGTACAACTTTTTCTAGAAAACGAAAAGCTTTGCGGAGTAAACAATTACAGGAAAAATAAAAAAAAATTAACTAATACATTTTTTATAAAGCAACAAGTGTTCCAGTAGAACGAGTTTTAATGTCGGAAATGATCTGCTATCTATCAAAGTGTGAACTTAAAGCTAATACAATTTGCCTGTATATGCTTGAAATTCTGATGGAAAAAGATGAAAAAAAGTAATTAGGATTAATGCTCACAAAAAAAAAAATAATAAACTTTAAAACTTTATATGACATTTGTTTTATTTTCGGCATTAATATTACCCTTGAAAATTCGAGTCGAATTCGGGTCAAACAATGATCGGGTCGAGTCGAATTCGGGTTCTGTAATTATTAACGGGTTCGAGTTCGAATATGCCTTAAACACGACCCGACCCGACCCTTACGGAGCACTACCCAAACGTATTAATATAACGGATTTAATAATCAAACAATTTGGAGCGTAATTAATAGCTACTAATGAAATTCGAGAATTTTCAATGAATATTTTCGAAGACACCTTAAAATGAAATCAAAAAAATAATTGAAATAATTTTAAATGAGAAAAAATATGTGAAGTGATTTTATTTTAAAAGAAAAAAATGACAATCTAAATTGCGTGCCTTAAATAGAAAAAATATACGTAAAATCGGCAAGAGTTTTTCAGGGCTAATCTTACAACAAGGAAAGAATTATGCTCAAACTTCATGATAACGTTCGGTTAATTATCTTTTGTGGGCTTTATATTTAATTAAAAATTTTAATAATATTTCAGTTAATGAATAAAAAATAACAATTTTCTATGTTTCTTTTATTTAGTTTTAAAAATTTGTCACTCTACATAATTATAAATTTTAATAAATTTACGTAGATGTGATTTTTTTTTTTTTGTATATTTTTATTATTATTATTATCGGAAATAAAAAATTACGCGATTAAACAGAATGATCAATGAAATAAATTTTGTTGAATTATTATTCCCACTTGTTCATTAGCACCTGATTATGCTTGTCGGTGTATGAGATTGATTTCATGATGCTTACGTTAAGTTCTGATTAATTACTGTTACAACTGATGGATTGAAAAAGAAGTCGTTGGTAATATCTGTCCCAATGACACGTTGTAATATCTTTTGTCCATCTGGACGTATTAGAATCCATTTATGGATATCTAATACTAACCCTTCCGCTATAACAAGGTAAGCTCCTGTCATAACCCTTTGATTAAATTCCTATATTAAAATACATTAAATTCATTAATAATTTATTAAAAAAAAATTCCCATTAAATATTATACATACGCTCCATGATATGGCGGGGTAATTGTTCATAAAATTTATGAGGAACACAAGCACGGATACGTTCCGATAAATCATCGGTTAGTCTTACGGGTCATATTTTTAATCTTATAATAAAATTCGCTTGTAGTTATCACAAATCCAAATAAAACTTCAAAACGCGAAATTTTTTTTTTTTGTTTTAAAAAAATAATCATAAATATGATTGGTAAAAATTTAAAAACGACATAAAGTTATCTTTTTTTATAATCCATGCTAAATAGATCCAAATAAAGGTTGGAACCGGTTAATTAACCGGTTAACAAATAATTTAACCGGATATTTACCGGGTTAAAGAATTTTTGGCCGATTCCAACCAATATATGCTTTGTCCGCCCCATATTTAATCAATCCCAAGAATATTTGCGTCATATACAAATCAAATAAATAAGAATCCAAAATCTAAATGCATGACGAAGAAGCTCGATATAATTCAAAATAAAATTTACCATACAGCTACAAATATAATAACCCCCTAATAAAAACATAAATGTTTTAAATGACGAACGACCTAGTAGCTGCTGATTCGACATTAGCCAACCCCAAATCGCCAATAAGCCTAATGCAATTTGAAATGGCGTAACCGTAAAGATTATTATTCCCAAACTGATATAAAAAAATAAGGGTGAGTTAAAAACAATTATTATAAAGTAGAAAAGAAGTGAATCAACAATTTTTAACTTACATTGCATGAGGACTAGCTGCATGCACATCTACTGTCGACATTGCTCTAATGTAGCTACTTTGGCGACACCAAAGAGATTCAAATTTCGATATTGCGACATATATCTATTCAGGAAATTAAACGGCATGAATTTATTCGCTTTATTTTTTTTTTTACCATAAAAAAAAAAAATTCTACATACGAGTCTTTATGTCTCAAATATCTAACAATCCCATAAGAAACCTGTAGTTTTTAGCAAGGAGGGAAAGAAATAATCCAAGTAATTGATTATCAATCTTTTAAATGGCTTCCATCGTGATCTTTAATAAGTGAATTATCCTCACTAACGAGAAGATGATCATAAAAGGCTGATTAATAATAACAAATATATATAATTAAGATAATAAATTATTTATTGTCCAAACCTTCCAATATAGATCGTGCATCCAAATCTCCCATATAGTATATTTTGAATTTGTAAATTATGAAAAGTTTGCCGTTGATAGGAAGACCCAAGTGACCAAATAATATTGCTCATAATCTATTCGTAGATGTTTTGAGCTTTTATACGAGCGGGAGGAACCTATTTCAATAGTATCCTTGTCAAAAAGTATGTACGGCTGACTTTATCACTTCAAGGATATCTAATGAACCATTGGCTTTCAAAGGCACATCTTCGTCAGGAACAAAGCATGTCATTTCTGTGTTAATAGTAGGAATTATAGATGAAGTGCTTATTAATTCTGTCGCACTTCTCTTTTTTCCGTTATTGGACGATGACGATGCAGGTGACGAAGTGTTCCAAAAGCTATTATTAGCTTTGGAAACATCGGTCTATATAAAAGAAATTGAATGAGAAAATGAAAAAAAGCTGGCTAAACCTCTTCTTACTATAATCATATGCATATTTTACTTACTTTTTTGCTTATCAAGCGTCTTCACGGACTTCTTGCGACATTTTTTCATCGTCATTTAATTAAACTTAACGTTCTATAGAAGGAAAAGTGAGCATCCATTTTATCAACGTTTTCATAGTTATATAACCATGAAGTGAACAAAATCAAAATATATTATATATGGGCTTTTTTCTACAGATTCCGAGTGGAGACGAATAATACAAGGATCCGACATATTTAAAAAAACTTTTTTAAGATGTTTATATCAAATGCGTCGATTAAAAATCTCGTGTTTATTGTTTCACAAATCATATGATTCTAAGTTTATACAATGACAATTTTACTTATTAAATGATTTGTTATTATAAACCATTATCAAGTAAGCAACGACCTGTTGCGTGTAATATTGGATTTTTTTTTTTCGTTTGGAAATTTCAACTATAATATAGCACTAGATTCTACTTCTGATTTTCTTATACAAAATTTAATTAATTTTTAAAACAAATGGATCATACTTTATTACAATTATGTTAATTCGCAAATGTAAATAGATAAAAAAACCCACAACTTAGTAAAAAAAAATCCTTACCTAGATCTAGTTGTTATATTAATATCATTTCAGAGTTATTTTGCACCTACAATTTTGTAAGCTGGCATTTACCATAAAATTCCCATCAGAATACAGATTGCGTGTGAGTATTGAACAGGACATCGCAGGAATATCACTGAACGATAATGGATTTTACACAAAGATAATATAGAAATAAAATCTGGAAAATATAAAGTTTAATAAATAAAATAATAAATCTACAATCTACAATAAAAGAAACTCGAGTTTGCAGATCTCTACCTATTTTATATAACCACAAAATTAGTCGTCCTACCATATGTACTAAATAATTATTAAAATTCTTAAACATTTCTGTATTTCCAAATATTTTACAATATTTTTAACATTAACCAACCTTTCGAGTAAGAGATTTAATTTAATCAGCTGGAAGTGTCAAAATCAACACCGAAGCACATATCGAACGGTTAGAGGTACAAGTTAGATAACAATTTTTCATCATAAATATTTTTGCAATGCTACTAGCTAATTATTATATCATTTCTTCATTTTAATAACACTTACGAGAAGACAATTTTGGCGGTGATGATAAAACAATCATAGAGTACTGAAGTATAAGCTTTCAATATTTAATATTACGTATAGCTTAGTTAATTAGCGAAACTAAAAGACAGGATATATTAGAAGCACAATCCCGTAGGCAAGAAATATATGGTTGTTAATATGGACGGTACTTTTATTGCATGAAATGCGGATAATATTTTAAGCGAATGTCATTGGTATTTATATCGGAAATGTAAGGCATGAAGTTATGCATATTGATTAATTCTTTATGTCGATGCAATCAGGCCAGATTTAAATACGGGTTAATAAGGTCTGCTATATTATTTACACAATATTTTTTTAAACATAATAACTAATGGATTTTTGATGTTTAAAAGAAGATTTTCTTACTGTGTCTAACCAGGACTATAGAATTTGGACGCGAAATGTGAAAGTTTCACCTAAAATTACGTCATGCTTGGAAGATTTGCACAAATTCAACCATCTACATCCATTGTTGAGTGTCTGAAATTGAGATTCGAAGATCAGTTAACTGAAATTGGAATTCCAATTTCAGCCACAACATATAGGGAAAAGAAATCAACGATATATTCTTTTGATGAATTTCGCACAGTTATGGAGGTGCAAGATGCAAGGTTAAAATACGTTAATTTGTTAGTATTCCGGATTTATTATAAATAAATATAAATATATAATTATAAAAAAGATTCCCTCATTTTACAATTTTTTTTTTTTTATAAATAAATTTATTTTCTAATGATTCCTTTCATAGCCCACGCGTTGGTTTTCATCCTGACATTGCTTGGAACTGGACCAAATTCCAATCGACTATTACCTTTTTTAAATTTACCGATAATTTACGCAAAAGCCCAACATTAATTAACATCCCTTTATTAACAGCGCTTACATTGAGAGCAGCTTTTGCTCACAATGAGCCATCAACCTCTCCAATGGAGAGTTACTTTGATGATTTTTCATTTTAATAATCGTGGGGGCATCTATTTTAAGCATAACGTTAGCCCCAATAATCCTTAACAAATTTATCATGGTAAAGGTTAATGAAAGGTTTGAAAATTTCACACATAATCTGAATTCGAGAATTATAATTCCAATCATTTGGACGGCAATTTGGTCATTATTTCGAAGATATTCCCCGTTGGGCTCTTGGGGGACTGGTCCTACACAATATATATAATTCAGGAATGTCAGGTGATTTTATGCGGTTAACATCAATTGGCCATCAATTTCTTATAAACATTATGGACACAAATTATTTCGGACTTTTTCATCTTGAATCATAGGATTAATAGAGCAACACGTACCGTAATAGTAGTTGAGGAGACACCTTTGATCTCTGAAATTGAGCAACCTCAACCATCAAATAATCTCAAGGTGTATAAGGATGATTTAACCGTGAATTTTTATTTGCGTATTTTGATCTTTGTAGCAGTTCTATTTTTCTACTTTATAGGTGTCGAAAGATTAAAACACAGAGAAAAATGTTAATCGTATTCCTTATGAGAGAGTTGGTTGTATTATTCCCACTCACAACACGAGTGCTCAAGAAATGTTAAAAAAAACTGCGACCATCTCGACTGGTCTTCAAGCAAAGATTGTATTGTGGAGTGAGTCTGCATTAGCATTAAGAAACGATGATGAACTTGATGATTTGTTGGAAAAAGCTTATAGAATTACAACGGCACATAAATTTTTATTTGAGTTTGACATATACGATTCCAACTGGAGACAACGGTCACAAAAAAAAAACATGTTAAGATTTGTCGGGCCAAACAATACAACATTACTTGAATAGCAAAAGACTCATCCCGTTCCTTGGATAGAATCTTATTCTATTGAAAGTGGTCCGGGTAAGCTAAAAGTAGTAAATGCAGAAATAGAAACAAAAAAGAATTGCATAAATTGGATGTGAGCGGAGCCATTTGTTTAGATATGGATTTTCCAGAATTACTTGGCCAAGCAGCAGCTGCGGATTTTGTTTTGTCCCCGGCACAAACTTGGTCCGCGCAGGTTGGAATACAACATTTACAAATGTCGTCGGTACGAGCTATCGAAAACGGTTATTGGATATTGAGATGTGATGGTGAGGAGCCTCGGGGATCACCGGTAATAACTGCTTTTTTATATATATATATAACATTTTTACCAATTTTTGTTTCTTAAAAATAAAAAGTTTATTAAATTTAATCTTTTTAATGATTCTCGATTTATTTAGATCCTTATGATCATGTTTGACACTTTGAAATTTTGTCAAATAAACAAGTGAATATATTCGCCTGGGAAATGCCCTTTACCGAAGAAAAAATTGAGGCTTACTACTCTCAATATGGTGAATTTACAGTGTGGGGAGCCCTAATATTTTTAGGATTGGCAGAATTACTTTGGTACTTTTCTTGGAAAGTAGCCGAAGAAGATATGACATCTTTGTTGGATGTATCTAAGGAATTTTTTAGAAAGCGACAAGAATTGGCAGAAGAAAAATACGATGAAATTTTTGATCAAGAGGAATTAAATTTAAAGGCGAAACAAAGCTTAATTTAGTAATATTCATTTTTTTGGGTTTTTTTTTTGTGTATAAATTTTCATGTATTTATTTTTCAATAATTTTTCATTCGTTTAAAGATTTATTAAACTATGAGGCATAACCAATCTTTTTTTTTTTATAGTTTATCTTGATAAAAATATTTGTTGTTTATAGTATATAGTTTCGGATAATTTCTTTCATTATCTTTCATTATCACACAATAATTTATTGAAAAAAAAAACCTTTTACATCATTAACCATTGATACTTTTGGGAGAGCAGAGCTGCCTCTTTCCTTTCATCATCTTTTCATCTTGGAACCACTTTGTTGGTTTGGGTATTAACCTCAAGCTAATGATACAAATTTCTTATTTATACATTTTGATATCAAGTGGTTACTTTTAAAAAAAAAAAAAAATAATAAAATTTCTAACTTTATTAACAGTCACAAATATCTATTATTAATTCTCCACCCAATGAAGAAACTGCTTTTGCTCATAAGAATAAAAAAAAAATTTTTTTCGAATAATCTTTATTGATCTTTAACAAAAAAAAGTTTGGATGTTTAGATTTTATTAAACCTGTTCGTGGCGAAGGACTATACTAGAATTTGAATAAATTTGGAATCATGATATTTCTTTAGTAATAACTTGATAAAATCGCTAAATAGCTATAATTCTTAATACATTGCACATATTCATTAATCGCTATAAATTATTAGTAAATATATAAGGACTCGTTATCAAATATCATTTATAAAAGTTTAATAGTCTTCGTTAATAATGTATCTTAACGCATATATTGAAATTACTGTTCGGAGCTAGCCTCTAATAATATCGAGACGCAAGTCGAAATGTTATTAATGGATATTTTGAATTTTTGTGAAGTTTTACATAAACGATACAAGGAGTTAATATCCACCTATGAAAAAATAAAGCCAGTGCTACAAATTTAGTGATGATGCATTGCAAAGAAGAGGGAAAGTTCCGAAAAAATATAGAAGAAGCCTTTTATGAGTTTTGGTGATAAAACAAAAATTTCGGATCTATTTGTAATCTAAAGATAATATTTATCACTTAATGCGCCTTCACATTTTATACGTAATTTTTTTCTGAAATTATAATTAACAAAAATTTCTGAAGTCATGTAACATAAATAAAAATATTCAAATGCGAGCATATTTAATGTAATTACAAATCACGAAACACAAAAAAAAAAAAAATTATACTAAGCTGACTCAAAATTTTAAAGCTTTACGGAATTTTGTAAACTATACAGTAATTAATCCTTCGCGAGCCATATTGTGTAAACTTTGTTACCATGAACAATTTTAAATTCAATGATAATAGCCATGAGTTCATTACCCAGCCAAATCAACTCATGATGATACGCATACTAAATAAGAACATCAAAAGAGAATCAGCCGCGAATAAGGGGTTGTCGTAATCATATTTTCTAGATATAATTTATTATTATTATTTTTTTTTTTATTTCTCTCATTCGGTTTAAGTAGAGGGCGTATACGTTGTACACTAGGAAATTCATAAAGTAGATCGATATCATGCATTCAATCTGGCCTCACTAGCTTAATAACAATAAATGGTTAAGAATCTTGAAGAATGATAATGAATTCAATACTTTGTTTCTTTCCTAAGTGACGGTGATGATGATTATGGTGATGATTTATTCCATAAGACCTGAACGATCTTACCGTTATCCTATAAAAAAGCAAATTCATTTGAGAATCATTTCTTGGTAAGAATAATCAGACAAAAGTTAAACTAAGATGGCGGATGCAGGAAAATTCCAGTAGTAAACTTTAGTTAAGGCAAAGATTGATATCGAGTACCGGTAAAGTTATAAGTTTCATTTAAGAGTAAAGAAGTTGCATAGTCGATCCTCATTTCGGAGTCAACGGATCTTTATCGAGAAACTATAACTGGAAAATTCCATAAGGTCTACAAAAACCCGCAACCCCATCCGTCGTCTAAATTTTTCATCCCACTATACTTACTTTTTTTATTGTTTAGGAGTTCCCGAGCAAAACAACGAGTGTTGTGATGTGTCTTCTTTTTATCTATCAATAACTGTAGAAACAAAATGCTGGAGTGACCACTTTTTACAGAGAAAGAACTCGAGGTAGTTTCGTATGGAACTTTTCAATTTCTCGTTGATAAGAAATAAGGTAGACAGACATGATAAGAAAAAGAAAAAATTATTCACGAGAAGAACAAACTTTGATGCGAATATCGTTGGTGGGTCACTAATATACTGATCGACAATGTGATATGATTCCATTTTTAGCATAATAGCTTACGGGAATTAACCCGATATAGTATGTAGTTAACATAGATTAATAATATTAATAAATTAAATTTTCTCACATTTAATCATTAGGATATTTCTCATTGACAATTAGAAAAGGCAATGATTCGTAAAAAAATCAAAGATCGCCTCCGAAACTTCTCTTTAAATATTATCTAAGTAGCTTTTATTTTTAACAAATTTCATTGATAAAAAGCAGACAAATATTAAATGTTTAATGATTCACAAAAAGATGTCCGGACTTTATAACGGGTTCCGTTTCCTGATGAACATTTTAATCCCTTGGCACGATCCGCGGATATGTTTACTTTTTGATAATCAGAAAAAAAAAATTTCAATCTTTTTTATTTTTAAAAAAATGTATGTTCATAGGTGTCGTTTCGTTGAATATATGCCAGCAGCTATTAATGCTCTTGCATTTACACCAAGTACTACTAAACCATTGATCGCATGTGGCCGAGCTAATGGGGATATCGAAATATGGAACCCACTTAATTTGCACCTGGAAAAGGTACTTAGTTGCATTCTATCATGAAAATTACTATTCGTTTATTTTTTATTATAAACGATAGAGAATATTAGGTGAATTAAATACTTCTGTGGAAGCAATTACATGGGCACATAAAATAACTTTAACGGAAGCGGATAAGATAACTTATAATACACAAGCTAAACGGGATAAAACTTTAAAAGAGTTAACCAGTAAACACCAAGATTATTTTCTGCAAATGCTAATGGATTGATAGCGGAATGGGACACGATAAAATTAAGTTGTAAGGTAAAGATATATATATATATTTATATATAATGTTCGTTGAATTTTGAAAACTTTATGCATTCCCCATTTGGAATTCATTGTTTGTATTAATTTAATCCTAGAAATTCATTGGTTCACATGGGGGAGCAATTTGGTGTATGGCTGTTAATCACGCGAATACATTAATTGTGATGATGGAGGTATACGAATATTTAAGATTATCGATGATGGACTATCTTTAATCCATAATTATGACAGAGCAAGCAAAAGTAATGTCTTTAACTTGGGATATAAAAGACAAACATATCGTATTTAGAGCTTCAGATAGTAAGATAATAAAATGGAATGTTGAACAAGGTATTAATAATAAGGGAAAGGGACTAACAATAAATGTGGCAATTTGTATTAACTTTTTTTTTTTTAAAAAAAAAAAAAAAGGACGAGTAATACATAGGATGACTGTAGAAAAAAAAATCACAGGAAGAAACTATTGTATGGGCAATTCAAGTGCTTAAGTAATGATTTAATTTTAAATAATTAACAAATTATTGTATATACAAAATAGAATTTTTTTTTTTTTGTTTTAGAGATGACACTATAGTAAATGGCGACTCACTCGGTCACGTATGTTTTTGGGAAGGAACATTTGGAAATATGAAACAAGATCTTGGAGCTCATGACGCCGATGTTTTATGTCTGTCTTCGAATCTCGTAATTATTTTTAATGGCAATATCTATTTTATTTTATATTTAGTATTTTAAGGAAATTTTTTTTTTTAGAATGGTACAGCGATTTATTCTTCTGGGATAGATCGAAAATGGTTTGTATATCGGATTGTGTCTCAACCAAAATCATATAGTAAAGATAATTCAGTACCAAATGAAAGACATTGGGTAAAGTGGGGTATAGCCGTTATCATGTGCATTGATCTTGGTCAAGCAGTGATTCAGGTTATATTTTTTTTGAATTTATTTTATATGCATATCCATTAAAACAATGCAGTATATTGCAACTTCATACAAATTAGCATCATCATAAGTACGTTTTTTGCAATTATATTACAAAGATGTATATACTTGAATAGTGCTCTGAGCAATACCTTAATTAATATCTTTTTATTTTGCTTTAGTTATAGTCAAAGATAGACGCTACATCATATATAATTGCAAAAATAAATTCACAGCAAATGGTCTCATTTATGTTAGTGATAGGTAGAATGCCTTGTGCTTTCTTAAAAAATCCTCAATTATACTATTCTTAATCTCTACTAGAGTTACTAGAGTTGCTGAACTTTCAATCTCAATATATGGTAATTAATTATAGCTATCAGCCTTCAAATCGAAAAGAACTTTCATCTTAAAAAAAGTATACAAAGAGAAAGATTGTTACATTATAAAAACAGTCATGCATAAATTAACTGATCAGATATTTAGTAGAATTGACATATGAATATCCTAAATATCTTGATAATACTTACACATATTCACAACTATTTTTAGATCCACCTTAGAGTTAAGAGTTCAGATAATGCTCAATAAATCCTTATTAGCAGAAAACTGAATAACTTTACATTTTGACAAAATCTCAATCATATCACTTTCTACTGTTATACTCTAGAAGTTTGAACTTACCTGATTTAATTTTTTATGCATTTTACCTGTTGAAAATTTTCTCTTCAAGCCAGTACTGCCTATTATATAGCCTATTACAATATGCTCATTTTCTATCCCATCTGAAAATGTGAAATATTCACAAAGCTTCTTCTTAAAACCTTCTAATAACATCATTTCTCAACTCACTATTCATTAAAAATTCGCACCCTTATATCTATATATTATGATGTATTGAACTTTTTTCATTTTAACAGAATACTGTATGATTATATATATATGCTCGTTGGCTAGCTAGGAGGTAAAAGATTTGTTAATCTTTGAAAGTGGAAAAGGTTTCATACTACTAAGTTTGGCTTTGATATTAAACTTTATTTTTGTGTTAATGAGCTCAAGTTTCTTATTTTTTTCTTCTAAAAAAATGTCAACCTTTCATAGTTTAAGGTCTTTTGTCTTAACATTATTATCAATTTTTTCCTTGATAACGTCTTTGAAAAAACTAACTAGCTTCATTGAATCTATTTTAACTGTAAAAGCATTTTTATAAGGTATATATATAAATATAAAAAATAACATATAAATAAATTAATAAAGTAAATAAATTAAATTTATTATCTGAACATAATGTTACCTAACTGTCAGGTAAGTAGACTGAAATACTTAATTGATTGAGCAACAGCTGAGTTTAGTTCAAACTTAAATTTATTTAGGAGAGTCTTTACTTAGATTCTTAAATCAAAGGTTAAGAAAGGATGTTATGTATCCTTCCTCAAAATCTCATCATGGTATTCTCTCACAATTCAAGTTTTTAAGTCAGAAAATATGAAGATTTCACTGACTTAATCTTCAAAAACTTCTTAAAATACTTCAGAATTAATCAAAAATACTACACTAGTACAATTATTAAATAAAATTCTAATAAAGGGAATTAGTCCTTTATTCTATTAGAATTTATAATTTTAAAGGTTTTATTTGTACAAGAATGCTTTTCAACAAATAAAATAAACACAGTTAAGGATATGTTTTAACAACAAAAGTCATAACTTCAAAAATTTATTTATTTTAAAATTATTTTATTGAAAGTAAATAAAGAATGACTTTTCAAGAATTGCAAGTTTATACTCTTAAACTTTAATCTCAAAAAGTTACTTTAAATTGGTGGCTATTTATAATAAATTCCTTAAACATCCGTAAATAGTTGACTAAAATACCTTGGGTATAATACAATTTTCTTAAACTTTAGGATACAATACTATAGAGAGTACTTTGATCAGGTGAGAGGATACAAGAATATGATAAATTTTTACGCATTAAATTTGTCAATAAAATAATTTTTTGTCCAGTTCAAAAAATTTTTTTTATTTAAACTTTGTTTTAGTTTAAATTGTTCTAGTTTAAATTTTATCTATTAAATTTGAATTGTCTAAAGTAGTCAAACCTGATAGTTTCTCTTAACTAATTTTAAAAATTTAAAACTAAAGTTATTTACTAATAACAAATAAGCCAACAAAAAAAAATATCAAATTAACATTACTGATGAATTTTAGTAGAACCAGATGCTATTTTTGAAGAAGATATGATTGGAGAATTTTAGTCATAAGTTTCTAAGTTTGAAATCAAAATTAGATCAGGATGTAATGTGAATAAATTAATTTCACATTATTTTTTTAAACAAGTTCCTTTTTCTTTTCAAAAAAAATGGTAATATATCGTAATAAAGGTTCTCATAATAAATTTCATATTACTTTATAAAAAAAAAGGTAATGGTATGCAAGAGAAAAGTTGCTTATTATCTATTATGTGAATAATGTAAAAGTAATAGGTTAGCGGTCAAAAAATTTGAAGTTGAGCCTAAACAAATACGATATTAAAAAAACCAAAAAAATCAATTAGAAAATGTAGCTCCTTATATTCAAAAACTGCATAAAAGAAGGAAAGCACATCTTCTAGAACTTGAAAAAAATTTATCTTTATAGATAATAGATATGCGTCAAGCAGAAAAAGTAGTTACACAAAATATGATTATTAAAAAGGCTAAATCTATTACTAAAGATTATTTTAATCTTTATCCAAATATCAACAACTTTAAATTTTTAACAACATGGTTGAAAGGTGTTATGAAAAGATTTAATTTACAATATATCGATGAACTCATATTATGCAACATCTTCCAGATAATCTTTTATAAAAACAATAAAATTTTTTTAGTTTTATTTAATATCAAAAAATTCAATATGATTATCTTTTAAAATATATTGATAATATAAATGAGATACCAGTTACTTTTGATTTACCTTCAAATACAATATTGGATCAATGCAATATATCAACAGTAACTATTCATACAACTGGTCATGAAAAAACTCATTTTACTGTTATTTTATCATATTTGGCTAATGGTATTAAACTTCCAGTTACTTGTATTTTTAAATTAAAAAATATTTCAAGAGAGCAATTCCTCAAGGTATTAATATTTGTGTAAATGAAAAGGAATAGATGAATGAAAATAAAATGTTATGATAGATTGAAAATATATAGAATCAATGTAATTCATTAGGTAATTCTTAATCTCTTCTAGTTTAGATTCTTTTAAAAGGCGTTTAGTTAATTCTGTCAAGAATAGATTTGTTGAAAAACAAATAAATATAGCAATAATTTCAGATGGTCTTACTAGTAAACTTTAACCATTAGATATTTTTATTAATAAAAGTTTTAAATTTAAATTGAGATAACATTATTAAGATTGAATGGCTTCAGAAATTCATCAATTAACACCAGCAGGACATATTAAAAAATATCATATTCTATTATTGCTAAATGGGTTATAGATTCATAAAATGATGTTGATACTATTTTAATTTACAAATCATTTAAATGTTGTAAAGTATTGGTAGTTAGAGATGGAAGTGAAAATCATTTATTATTTAATTATGATTCTTTATCTAAAAAAAAGAATAACAAAAAGAATAAAGAAAATAATATTTACCATAAAAATGAAATAGAAATTGATGAATCTAATAATGAATTTAAAATAATTTGTCATTAGATGACTTAGAATTTAATGAATATGATGAAGAAGAATTGCCAAATTATAAAAATGTTTAGAATTAAATTTTTTTTTTGAATTTTTTTTGTATTGAATTTTTTTTATATATTATATATATATCAAATAAATCAAATTTTATCTTAAAAATAAAAATATTTTGATTTAAGTATTATATCTCTGGATACAATACATTTTTTATAAAAAAATAATTTATTTATTGGTGTTTTGTATTCTGAATACAATACATTTTTCACTTTTAAAAAATGCAGGAAGGATATAATACTTAAGGGGTACTTTAGTTAACTAATGTTTATATTATGTTGAAGTAATGACTACCTAATTATCTTGTAATAACCCTATAATTAATGACTATATTATTACATAAAAATGTTCAATTATTACTCTATTATTACTACACTTTCTCTTTCTCTTAGTATTCCTTTTTGGTATTTCTACTTTAAACTTATATCATATGTTATCATAGCTAATAATTCTATCTTCTTTCATTGATTATTTTATTTAGAGTTTTGTGTAACATTTAGGTTGATCATTATTCTACTAATTTCAATGATCTTCTATGTTATATCAACTTCTTGTAGATCATTCTTGTTGTGTTACATAGTCCTTTTATTCTTGCAGATCTCTTATGTTATAATAGTTTTAAGTAATTCCTTTCGATAAACAACAACATTATTTCTTTTATAATTATCAATATATATTCCTTTTGCATATTGACTAAAAATAAATTCCAATTTTTTTAATCATTGAATTGCTGTGGATTTGTTGTAAAATATAAAGATTTTTAATAAATATATATTAAAAAAATAATTTATAAAATATAAATATAATAAAATAAATACCTGATTTTGATTAAAAATTAAGAATTATATTTACAAAAATTTTTTAAAAAATTTATTAATACATTGAATTCTAAAAAATTAGAAAATAGAAGAAAATAGCTATTGAATTTTGTTATCTTCTTGCTGAATTTGATAATAATTTATTAATAATTTAAAACTTAAAATTAAACTCTTTTTAAAAACATTTGGAACTTTAAGAGAAGATATTAAAACTTAATCATTAATAGATTTTAATATACACTCCCTGGCCAAAAGTTTAGGACCACCTCGAAATTTGCGAAATAATCAACATTTAACCCTAGTTAATACATAATTAACTAAAATAAAATTAGAATTTTGTGTAATATGATAATCAATAAATGATA